GTTTAGATTACGTGTTTCAAAGGCATCTGTGTATTGTGTACATAACAGAGCGCAATATGAATTAAAATTGTAATTTTCAATAGTGACAAGCAATATTTATGTGCTTTACTAAATTTACAGAAGCACTACGAGTGGTCGGGAGCAGGAGTAGATTTTGTTAGTAGCTACGAAAAGATCGGAGCTACTAAAATATTGATGAATGCAGACATGCACGTAAATTTCCGTCTGCAAACAGTTTACACTGGGAGAAAGTGGTCTAGATGTGCGGGAGAATGTGTGACGAATAATGTTTGTGAGTCTTTTTTGTGTGAGTCTGTGAGATGAATAGAACCAAACTGCCAAAGCGAGTCTCATAACCGTGGCTTTAAAAACGACATGACCATGAGTTTTTTTTAACTATGTGTTATATTTGTCATAGGCTTTAGGTTATGTAATTATTAATGATAGGTCTATCGTAAATGCTATTTCTTCTGTACACTGCTGGACCTGGGAAACAAATTGCGTTCCCTTGTGTTTTTAACATGTCTGAATGACAATAATCTGAACCTTAGACCTTGAATTATACTCGAAATTTGTGACATAGTCATACGTGGAACAAGCCGTGACGCATTGAGCATAAAAAATACCAAAGCTATAGATATATATATAAAAAAGAGCTGCACAGATGAAACAACATGGAGGGAAATTAACTGGTCCTCAACCTGTTGCTGTTGCGGTGTTCTTTCCAACGAATCCAGCATGAGACTGGAGGCGTGTGTTCAGGGACTTTTTCTGTATCACCACTGTGTGCAGCTTTTTATGAAAAAATAAGAATTATTCTGTTTTGTGTGCCGAGGACTGCTTTTGCTTTTCGCTGTGTTATCAAAAGATGAAAGTTTAAAATTCTGGCATCATGACAACCTCAAAAGAAAAACATGTTTCTCTAAGTATGGCATCAAAAGAATGAAGTTTAGTTATTGGTCTCTAAACTCAGGTGTTGTATCTGCACTAGTGTTTAAAAACTACTGCACACATACATACAGTGATCTGTGTGTGTGTGTGTGTGTGTGTGTGTGCGCGTCCCAGTCCAGCAGCTAAGTTGAGCGTGTCTAACGAGGTTAATGAGGAGAACGCTGAGAGAACACGACACCAGAGAGAAAAAACTCCTGTGTAATTGTTTGAAATTAGCCCACTGACATTGACAATAAGGAGCTTCTGACGGGGCCCTCGACGTGCCGAGATAATGCTGTGTGACACGGCCGGGGCCCGGCTGGGAGGTCCAAATACCACACGGCTGATTAGAGGCCCCCGACATGAAACGGACTAAGTCGAAGGATCCGCCTGGCGGGGTTAAATCTCAGGGCATGGGAGAGGAACATCAGGCCACCGGTTCCTGATGATCCTCCGCTGGCAATAAAAAAAGATTAGGACTTGTTCTAACACGTCCTTGCAGGAGATGCTGGCCGCTTCTCGCTGCTGAGACGCAGTGACATGTCTAATTTGACAGGATGCTTCTGTCCAGAGCTCACATCTGTCACAGGCGGCGGCGGCGGGCTGCTTAATACTCGTTAATCATTTCAATCCCTGATGCTGCTGACTCGTTACTGCCTGTCACACTATTCATAACATTTATTTTCTACAACACCCCCACCCCCCCAAAAAAATATGTGACTGTGTCTTCTCCTGACTCAGTAAATCAAGTCTCTTCTTTTCCAAATGATGAGAGAGGATAAACAGAGCTAACGAGGCGGCAGATCTTCAGAGAGGTGGGATTACTTCTATTTGGAAAGAGTCAAAATTTGTACCATTTGTCATGTGAACGAGCTGAGCGGGGAGAAATTAACTAACTGAGACAGTAGCTGTAGTGGATCTAACATAAACATCGTGATAATAAATGTGAATCAAACTGATACAAATATAAACTTTTAAAAATTAGTTACTGATACCTCTGATACTGAAATAATGACTTCTATAAACCTGCAACTGATTCAGGGTCCTACAGCTAATAATATGAACCAACATGAAGTTTGCCCAAACATTAGCTGCAACATAAAACCGAACTTTCTGGTGACATTAATGCAAGAGGCATTTAAGATTTTACAATACAAAGTCAGGAAAAAATAAAATCCTACTTCCCATGTCTAAGCATTTTCATACTCATCAAGGCTCTTTTTTTAATGAATTCAATGCCATTCAGGATTGCAATGGTATACCAATTTTAAGATACTGTGAAATTAAAATTGACGGTGATCATACAGTGTACATTTGTTTATCTGAAATACTGACAATTCTGTAATACCGTGATACTGTGAAACCGTGATATTTTCTGAGATGGTTATCGTTAGCAGCTGGAGGTGGCTTTGTGTGATTGTTTGAATGAAGTGAAGAAGAGAATGAAGCTTTTTGCTGTTTTTGCATTGCGACATGCCTCGTGTTTCTGCGCTCTAGACGCCTGCCGTTTTTGCCGGAGCGCTCTGAACTCCTCAAGTTGAAAAACTTCAACTCAGAGTGGAAAACGTCTCATGCCATCTCTTTTTTCATCATCTTTTTTCCCATTGTCCAATCAGATGATTTGAGAGGCGGGCCTTCTGTGGTGGTCACGACAACAAGTTTACAGTTGGTAAACAATGGAGGAGAAACTGGTGGTAGTGGTTGCTGGATACCCAGAGCTATACGGCCTGACGATAGACAGCAGCAACATCCATCATGGAGGAGAAGCTCCTGGACCAACTGGTGGTACTCCCCATGACGCTTTTTTTTCCTCCAAGTGAGGATTAGAATATATGACCTTCACATAACCCCGTCGAAATTAATATATATTTTTAAACACTTGAAGATCCACTCATTACTAAAAGTGTCTGTCATCCGAGAGAGACAATAAAAACTAATGGAGTGGTCAAAGTTGTCACAGTGAAATTTAAGGTGTGCTGATGGATTCACGTCATCAACTCATGCATTGAGTAACACTACATGTAAACGTTTTTCGGGTTGGCAAAGCATCCTTTCATTTTATAGTTCTAGTTACCTGATGTATGAACAGAGGTTACATAAAACCAGAGTGACTGTCCTCTACTGACCAATCAGACTGCAGGGTTCACAGCTCCACCTTTTAGTACCAGATCTGTGTGCTAGGTACCCCAACAGAGGGGGGTCCAAACATGGGGACACTAAGGAACGCTTCTGTTGGTACCATCCACAACTTTTCACTGTGAAACAGAAAAATACATACTGAACTGAACTGAACTGAACCGTTCTGCTCGGTGGAAACAGGGCTTAAGTTTCTTACTTAACAACTAAACAGTAAACTGAAACATTTGAGGTGAGACATTAGAAACACAGTAACAGAATCTTGATTTATATTTGATCAGTGCTGCCTAGCTCGACAGTTTGACCACAACTCATGAGCCATGGTTGACAGCTTTATCTCATGCACCGCTGTGTGAATATAGTGACAGTTTCAGTAAATATGACAAGTTATTTTTTTATAAAAGTTACCATGTGCAGCTTTAATCAATTCAAATCCCTTCAGCACTAAATCTGCACACTACTCATTACTAAACTACACTAACAAAGTACTGAGCAGCATGTTCACCTCTCAAACACAGACGCACAGAGAAACCAGTCGGCTGCACCGACGTGATAAATGTACAATTGTAAAGTGAGACGAGGTGTGGAATGTGATCCAACCTCTGTGGAAAAGAAAAAAAACCTATCTGCGAGGGAACTATCAGTTTCCCAGAAAGCCTCGGAGTCGCAGTAAATCAACACTCTGAATACCAACCAATTGTTTAGATGTGTCACCATTAAGTTAAAGCGACATGTTGGGCACTGTAAACAGATCAGTGTGCCCTAAGAGGCGTGATCGTGCAGGGATTCAGTTCCAGAAGGTGCCGGCAGCAAACAACGACCTGGAAACACAAGCCAGCAGATACTGTTGCACACAGACCAGTCACTGAGTTTCTATTCTTAGTCAGGCAGAGGTAAAGGCTCCTGACAGGTCGTCATATCATGAGTTAGGACTTTCTGTACCTCATCACTGCATCTTATATTATTTACTGCAATCAAATATGATACAGCTAAAATTCTACTAATATACACTGATACGCTGAGGACATTCACTAAAGCATGTAAAATCATAATTTAAGAAGTTCTGCTCATGACACTGAGTCAAATGACTGTCAGTGTTTCTTACAACAAAACCCTGCACATTTCACATCTGATCAAATTTTAATTATTGTTCATCTAGAGATTAAGCTGTGAGCATGAGCAGGGTTTCCACACTGTCATAAACATCAAATTCAAGGACTTTCCAGGCCAAAGTTCCCCAAATTCCAGGACCCAACACAGCATAGTTTGAGGCACCAATCAGGGTTAATTAATGTTCTAATACAGTGAATTTTAATCATGAAAACTAGAGTGCTTTATAGAAACTCACAGACAGCAGATAAACTGAGTCAATTTACTACCGTTAAGCAAAAATTAATACATAAAAATAACTTTAATTTCTGTTTTTGCACAAAATATATAAATCCAAGCACTTTCAATTTGCCTTATCTGTTTATGTCTATTAAAAGGACATTGTTTCCCCCCCCTTGAATTCACATTCTTTCAAGGATTTTAAGGACCCATGGGAATCCTGAAGACAATTTTCTGCCAATATGACCAAAGAGAGACAATAAGTGATAACAGCCTTAACTTTCCTCTGATTCATGGAGACGAAGTCAGGCAGGTGTAAGATATGATGAAGTACCTAAACTATAACGGCTTATAGGGAAAATCAGCCCTTAAAGATGTGATTCCTTATTTCCTTATCCCTCAAAACCACAAACCTATTAAAAGGTATTTCTTTTGCTTTTCCTACTAAAGCTCAGTGACTTGCTCAAGGACACGTCAGCAGGCAGCTTGCTGGACAAACAGGTTTAATTTCAGGTCCTCTAGATTACAGAATTTTTTTAAACTGACTGTTTTTGGCTAAAGTAAGACATGTGTCCCCTCCTGGTTCTAACATTGACTCCACTCACTGCGTAGCAGCAGGCGTCCGAACAGGTTGTGGTCTCTGGCCGTGGTGTTGCAGTTCCAGCGGTGGTTGCGGAACTGGTGCTGGCACTCTGAGATCCAGTCCTTCATCCCAGCCCCGATGGCCTGCATCACTTTGGGGTGCTGGCGGCACAGCTGGCGCTGTTTGTTCACCAGACCAGGGATGTTGTCGCACATCACCTGGGAGCCCAGGGAGCCCATGTACCTGCAGGGTGGAGGAGCAGAAAGCACAATGTTTGTGAACATCTAGGAAAACCTTTTAATCATTTATCAAGGAGGAGAAAAGAATTGTGCGCTATTTTTTTTTTTAAATCCCTCTGCCTGTCCAAATGTTTGTGCACAAAATTTGGACACTAAATTCCCTCCATGATCTCAAAAATAAAAAAAAAAAATAAAGAAAATGTGGAACCTGTTCTTTCAACAAGCATACAAATAACTCCACACACGTCTGCACCTCCAGTAAAGAAGAGACATTAAAGCTCTGTGTGTTGGCTGGACACTCAGACAGAAAAAGATAATGGATAACAAGGCAAAAAAAGTGTCTTCTTGAGAAACTTGTGTTGAAATCACTCCTAACAAGTCCACACTCCCATGTACCTGCAGAACAAGGTGATGAAAGACGGGCAGGGAATTTGCAGGCTGCAGGGATTTCCCTCAGTGATTAAATAAAGTCCAGAGCAGCAAGAGAAAAGAGAAAAGAGTGAGAAATCTGTCCAAACAGCCTCTCTGTATCACAGCCAGTGTGAAGTTTGGAATTTGGAAACAGAAAGCGAAAGACAGCAAATAAAGAGAAATTAAATTATATCAGATGACTTTCTCCTGTAAACTTATCTGTCCAAATATTCAGTCCTCAACTTCAGTATTTAAAAAAAGAAGTTATGCAAACTATTTTAGCCACTCAGTCTGTGGGAAATTTCTAATTAACAAAATGAAAAGATTTGTTATGAAACAGTTTAAGGTAATTAAGACAAATATATTTAATGGAACAGATGGACACAATGCCAGGGCGATGCCACATTAATCATATTTTACTGACGACAGATTAATTTAAACAGCATTGGCGCGCATTTTACGCATCGCATTAAAACATGTTAATAGGAAGGTCATGCATTCAGCGCGTGGGGCTTTTACAAATGCATTTAAATGAGAATGTAAAGAGAGTGCACAGTACTTACCACCAGGACGCATCGACCTCGGCCATCAGCCAGCAGATTGCCACAGAAAAATAAAAACATATTCCACTTGGCAATAAGTTCATATTAACCAAACTTCGGTCCTTTATGGATCTGGACGGAGCATTTCCACGGACAAAAGAAAAATAGAGAACATCAGAGAACTTGTTTAATCTCCAAATCAAACTTGGATTAAAACTATATCATCACAGGACAGTCGGAGGAGGTCTGTGCGTAAAAGCCATGCCCGGCTCCGGTGGCAAAGCGCTTCTGAGGGAAAAAAGTCAAAGCGCGGCTGTCTAATAGTCCAGCAAATATTTTCAGTGGAGATGATGTGCTATCAGGTTTAAATTGCTTTACACAAGGGGTGGGCAGAGTCCCGTCTCAGGAATGAGGTGAAGAAATGAGATGTCTGAGAGTATCTGTTCAGGCTGGTTTGACACCAGACAGGCTTGGCCCGCGTCCAGACCGGAGCTCCGCTGCTGCTCTGAGATGCGGTCCAAGCCGATGGGCTCTTCACTCAAACTGCACCGACGCGTTCAGGGCAGGAGCCGGCGGAGGGGGAGAGATCATCCAGCGCGCTCAGCCACTGTCAGTCACCAGAAAGGCGCACAAATCCGCTTAGATTCGGTTTCAGGGGACAAAGTGGTGCAGATAATGGAGATGGATCGGGGTTTGGAGCCCCGGAGCTCCAGAAAATTTACTTTTGCGCACAAATTATCCCGTGAGCATGAAAACAGTGACTCGTGTGGACAGGATCCATATTTTGCGCACAAGACTTTTAAGCTTTCAGGACCTCGGGAGCTAAAAAATGAAATTTTCTTAGTGAAATGGTGAAAAATGAAACATAAAGCTATCCACACACATCAGACAATGACCTAAATGCAGTCTGTGGGCATTGATTGGTCTTATTTCTCTTCATATAAAGAAAAAAACTTTTACTTTAGCTACTCAAAGAAAGTCCACTGCCGTACCCGACTGCCGCACAGGTGCCAAATATTTCTGATCCCCACAGCATGACGCATTGTTATTTTACAGCCTTATACAAACCATCTCTCAGTCCAACTAATAACTCAGGAATGATGGTTAAAGAAAAAAAATCGGACAGGGAAAATTACGCACTGGTTCTCCCAAAGCAGCACCTAAAGGTGACGTGTCCATTTCAATTGGATTATCTATAACAGCCTTTTTGAAGTCTCAGGAAAATCTGTACCACTGTCACACGGTATTTCCTCCATCTTTGATCTGGCCCGGGTGGATCTGGAGGTCCAGGAGACCCTGCACCAGATGAGATTAATGGGCAAATTGGATTTTTCCTCCCATGATCCCCGTGGAAGAAAACCCATAAAACAACAAGGAGCTTTGGAGCGCTCTCTCTAGCCAACATGACTTTGTTGTTGCAGCGGCGGTAGTTGTAAAAAGTCCGGAACAGAAATCCAATTTAAATGGAGTAATTTGTTCACTGTCACCCCAAATCGCATTAAGGCCGGTCACTGTATTTCACTACCTGTTTCATGAGGAGAGAGACGGTCTAACATCAGCAGTGTGAGGTCAGGTCATGGCCTGTTGAGACTGACTCTGATGTACCTGGAGTGAAGTTTGTGGAAGAAGCTTAATGAAGGATGAATGACAGGAAGTCATCTGAGATAAATTCACTTAAAGGACTGAGCTATGACTCAAAATCAAGACTCAACAGTTAAGGTTTCTGAGCTTCAAAATGTTTTAGTAACTGAATTTAAACATGTTGGGAGGGAGCTCAAGTAATTATGATCCTAAGGGTCAGTATGTTTACATGGTTTTAGAGAAAATCAATTTATTGTGTTAGTGTGACTGAAATCTTACTAAATCGAATTTCTCAAAGTCGGACTAACACACCCAGATCATGTGACTCCTGCATGTCTACAGTCAGTCAGACCCAAACTGGCCGAAGCCTCTGAGCATGCTCCACAGTTTCCACCCCGGGCTTTGACCCTCAAGTCCAAGAGCATTAAATGTGTAACAGAAGAAGGGAGGAAAAAGTAAGGTGTACAGCATGGACCAAATGTACAGAGCTGTAAAGTTGTCCACCATGGTACCAGTTAGCTGCTAGCTAACCGTAGCTAACTTGTTTGTCCATTGTTTGGTCTGTGACGTAATAGCTCAACAGGAGAAAGGTCCAATATTAACAAGCTGAAAGGGGGCATATCTCCACCTATCGTAGAGGAGTTGCACATACTTGGGTCAATAAATGGATTCCCCTCCTGTGCTTGTATACTGGGACAAGGACAGTAGTCCAGTTAAATGGCCAACACATTCTCACTGCGACCTCGTTACATGTCTACGTTTGCTCATGGACTTTCCACGTTCACACATGACGTCCAAGGTACCCTGACTGTGCTGGTTGTTGATGTTCTGGGACGCCGTGTCAAATTCAGTCTGTTACATGCATTGTCTGTTTTCAAAATACACTTCTGTTTTCACAGGAATTGAACAGTTTGCATACAGTCTCTTTCAAAATAAAAGTTCTATGCTGGCATAAAACCGCAAATTGACTCTTTACCTCCAACATAAAACGCAGGTGGTTGGGTTTAGGAAAAACAACAACAAAAACAAAACAAAACAGGGTTTGGCTCTATAAACTTAGGGGAAGCAAACATCGCTCTCCTGAGTGAAAGTCACTCTTCACTGGAATCATCCACCACACCTCCCACCCACCCTAATCGGACTTTCGCCGCCTTAACTTTCCTTCTTCTCTCACCTCGTTTCCCCCTGATGCTGTCTGCTGCCATTGAACTATGATGACCATATCATGCCGACGTTAAAGGACGGCTTTCTTCGTTGGTGTCTGAAGCCCTAAGTCAATGACCAAGTGCTGGATTTCGACGACTTCAGAGTGAGACCAGGTTGAAATGGCCTAGTCAAGCTATCATTGTAGCTCAACTTAACTGTGCATGTAATCGTACATGTCACATGTTCTTGTTAGAGCATTCACATTTATAAATTTGAATTGAAAAAAAAAAAATATATATAAGAAAATCAGTTCAACGATTTTGGAAATACACTTATTGGCTTTCTTTCTGAGGGTTAGATGAGAAGACTGATATCACTCTCATCTCTGTGGGTTTAGTATTCAGCTGGAGTCGAAAGACAATTAGCTTAGGATAGCATAAAGACGGGAAGCAGGAGGAAACAACTAGCCTGGCTGTGTCTAAAGTTCAAAAAGCACCTGTTAATTAAACAGCTTTACTCGACTCCGAATTATGTCAGTTGAATCAGATTTGGCTGTTAAATACATATTTTCAACGATTAATTTCACTTCTTTATACAGAGTTTGTTACATTTGTCCCACAGACAACAGGTGGACACACAAACGGCTCCTGGGAGAAGATCAGCTCTGCACTCAGAATTTCAGGTAAATAGGCTATATGATGCTTAGCAACCTCAGACACAACCTGCCGCCACGCTCTTGAAAGCTGGCACAAGAAAGGCACAAGAGTAGCACCCAGCGCCTGACCTCGTGTTTTTCCAGGCGGTTAAAGATGCAGCATGTCTTCGGCCCCTAATCGTTCCCCTACTTTGTACTTGACGCACAGACATGAGGTTGATATCAATGTTCTCATCACACTGTGAGAAAAAAGTCAATTAACCTCTTTACCAAAAGAGCCCTGAAAATTATCATATTATATATTCGTCCATCCATTTTCATCCTCTTATCCTTGGCTGGGTCGCAGGGGCAGCAGGCCAAGCAAAGCACCCCAGACATCCCTCTCCCCAGCAACACTTTCCAGCTCCTCCTGGGGGACCCCAAGGCGTTCCCAGGCCAGATGAGATATATAATCCCTCCAGTGTGTTCTGGGTCTGCCCCGGGGCCTCCTACCAGTGGAACGTGCCCGAACACCTCTAACGGGAGGCACCCACGAGGCATCCTAGTCAAATGCCTGAACCACCTCAACTGACCCCTTTTGATGCGAAGGAGCAGCGGCTCTACTCTGAGCTCCTTCCAGATGTCTGAGCTCCTCCCCCTATCTCTAAGGCTGAGCCCAGACATGCTACAGAGGAAACTTATTTTGGCTGCTTGTTTCCAGGATCTCATTCTCTCGGTCACTACCCAGAGCTCATGACCATAGGTGAGGGTTGGGACGAAGATGGACCAGTAAATCCAAAGCTTTGCCTTCTGGCTCAGCTCCCTCTTCACCACAACAGTCCAGCACAGCACCTGCATCATTGCAGACGCTGCACCAAACTGCTGATCCATCTCACGCTCCATTCTACCCTCACTTGTGAATAAGACCCCGAGATACTATTATTATATCATATATTTAAACCTGTTATATATCTAGGATCATAATTTACATTTTAGAAACATGTTCACTTTGTTTTTGGAGGCACTGAAAAAAGAAAACATTCTGATTTAAATCTTGAATTTGAATGTGCAAGAAATTGTTCCCCAAAAGAAACTTTAATTTTCACTTAAACCCTTAAAACAAAGAATTCAGAACATAACTCAAAGACAAGACAGAACAAAGTGGAAATCAAGTTTTACAGCTGCAAAATAACAACGCTGTCCTGTCAAACCTTTTCCTGAAACATCTCAGTCCCTCAGTGATCCAGTTTATCACCTACTGTTATCAAAAACAAATTATTATCACAAGCTCATTAACTAACGATTAACACAACCATCTCTGCAGGTAACCCTTCCCACCGGCCGCTTTGTAAAGGAGGAAGACGAAGGTGGCTCCGAGTGTGCTCACTGTGAGTCCAGTCAGGGACCGCATCCTCCGGTTGCCGTAGGAACCAGGTTGAGGAAGCTGACAGCAATCTCCGGCCTCGTCCATCTGAGGGAGAAGGAGAGGTCGCATGAGAAACACACATTGAATCCTGTGGTCAGAACAATGTGACCTTGTGCAGGAAGTAGACGGGTCATTTTGACCTAATCCAGTATGGATTATAGCAGTTTACTGGTCAGACAGTTTCAGGCCAGTTAAACCTCCACTGGGTGGGAAATATCAGCTCAGTCAGTACTGGGCGGGAATCAAACAGAGGGTGAGGGCATGTCTGGTCCCATCGCACCACCACAGCGTGACTCGCAAACCTGAGTCACCAAAAC